GCTACATTCGTCTGTGCGGTTCGATATGCCCGACTTCACAGAGGAGGCCTTGACATCTATCTCTGCCCACGGAATGCCCCTGAGGGCGACCGAGGCGACGAACAATGAAGCTCCAGCGACTGCTGGTGCTCTGAGGCAAGTACATTCGGACAATTACTTGTTCGAGAATGTACCGTCAGGTGCTCGTGTCTCAAGTGGACTGGTCGAGCCGACGCTCTACACGTCCAGCATCGTCCAATCCTTGGCAATTTCCAGCATGGTCAACGACACGAAGGAAGCAATCTCGGAGGCAACGCACGACCTGTCGCTGGACGTTAAATCTCAGACTTCAGAAACCGAGCAGCTCGACGCAAACATTTCTCAAAAGAGCGAAAGCGAGGGCAGTAAGATTGAAGAACCACACCAGGACGAGGACGATGGCGGCGTGAGCGAAGAAGAACTCGACGACGGAGAAGTTAAGGACGAAGTCATGGACGACGATGGTAGCCATGCTGACGAGGTTGGCGCCAGTGACATAAGTACGCAGACACCAAGACGCTCCTCTGGTCAATCCTCGACAGCGTCGTCACCGAAGGCACTTTCGCCACCGGCAACCAGCTCCCCGATGCCTTCCCACCCTCGCTGCTGCGCGTCGACGGCGTCGGCCGCATTGCCTTTCCGCTGTGCCCCGAGCAAGCCGTGACGCTCAAGGCCGCCTGCAGCATCTCGCCATTTGGCCGTGGTCACGACACGGTCATTGACACCAACGTCCGTCGCAGTGTCGAGGCGCCCGCCGACAAAGTGCACTTGTCGCCAGCGTGGACGGCCGCCGTCAACCAGTTGGCCATTGACGCGTGCGAGAAGCTCGATCTCTCGTTCGCTGTCGACGCGCACTTATACAAGCAGCTCTTGTACGAGGCGGGCGACTTTTTTCTCGAGCACCAGGACACGGAGAAGGAGCCGGGTATGTTTGGGACGCTGCTCGTTCAGCTTCCGGCGGAGCACACGGGCGGTCACTTGGACGTCCGGCACCGAGGCCAGACGAAGCGATTTGGTTTGGACGGTCCCGCGAGCGCAGACGCGCTGCATTATTGTGCTTTCTTTGCCGACGTGCACCACGCCGTGGCGCCCTTGACGTCAGGCCACCGTCTCGTGCTGACGTACAACCTCGTGCGTCGTGGGGCTA